TGGGGACATGTGAGAGTCTGGCCATTTAATTAGATGTGCGAATTTGATGTGGTTTTGCTTTATGGTTTTTCTTCCCTTTTTCTTTATTTATGTTTGATATTTGGAATAATTGCATGTGAGTTGTTTTGATTGTTCTATATTGAACCCTAGGGTAGAAGACATGTTTATATATGTCTAATAATTTTTCTGGTTGTTTTGCAGGTGAGAGTTTGGATGCATTGCATTCTCCCTTCACACACACACATTGTGCATATTATGAGTGGGGCCCTATACCCGGGTCTGAGTGCAACTTAGAAATAGAGGGGTTGTGTAGCGGTGCCACTTGGGACATACTTTCTGTTTGGCTATCGTGTGAACCCCGGCTAGAGTTTGTTCTCTTCATTTGTGTCTTCGCACCTAGTTGATTACTCGACTGTTGTGGAGATGCTATGAAGGGGAACATAGCTCTAGTGACCATTGATCTTTAGGTTCAAGGAACCATCCTTGTGAGATTGCATATACTTGACCTTGAATATGAAGCGTTGAACCTCTATTTGGGCACAAAGGGAGAAATGTATAACCTTGTAACTCTCACACTGTTTGTTCCTTTTGAAAATAACGATTTTGCATTTTCATATTATGCATGTATCATGCATCATTTTCATTCATCATTTGGTAACGTACTTGCTTTAGGGGAAATCACAAGTTTATCTGCTTGATATCATACAAGATGGAAGTTGATGCAAGATCTTATGCTATACAGTAGACCGATTTTGTCATGTTGAGAAAGAAGCCTTGTCTGAAGACTCATGGCGGAAACCTGACAGGGCTGATAAACTTAGGCAAACAGCTAAAGACCAATATTATGACTCCCCGCTCAGATGTTTCACATTTCAGGACTTGTAGTTGGCGCCAACTGTAGAAGAATTTGAGCACATCCTAGGCTTACCACTAAAGGATATCACTCCTTATCAGCATTTGGAGCATCACACCTCTATCCCCACCATTGCTGCCATAATGAAATTACAACCTAAAGAAATTGAAGATAGGTTAACGAGGAACCAAGTGCGCGGACTTACGCAAGGATATCTGGAGCAATATCTACATCATCTAGCTGATAAAGAAGAGTGAGAGATATTTATGGATGTGGTAGCCCTTACTGTGTACGGCGTCGTCTTGTTCCCCAAGATATAAGATTTCATGGACTACACCGCAATATNTAAAATCACAAAAAGAAAGAGCACGAGACAAGGCCCTCTCATAGAATACCTCTTATGTCACTATCATCCTCACCATCACCAACTTTCACTCTCTCTACTCTAGAAACCCATCCCATCTAGTTAACATGAACCATGCCATCAACACCTTCAGCAATTAAAGACCAACATTCCCTTTGCATAACCCAAACTTGCAAATTGATATTCCGAAACCCACCATCATATTGTGAATCCTAGACAGGATAATGGCGTGAGGGAGAGAAGAAGAGGTCTTTGTGCGATTCAGGAGGGATTGAGCAGTAGGGAAAGGGCTCTTTCCGATTGGATGCATCGGCGATGGTTGGCTTCGTCGATGGTAGGGAGAACGCGTCCCAGGGACTGAGACTGTTTCTTTCTTATGCATAAGGGGAAAAGGGGAATATAGGACTTTGACGGTGGCTAGCAATGAGTCTGGCGACGAATGGCATCACCAGCGATACCTTTGGCCGATTGGAAACGGTGTGACAGTGTTGGTTCGGTGAGCAACGGTTATTCCCTCTCGCGCGAAGAGGAGAAGTAAGGGATTTGACCCCTTTCCCTAGGTTGTTTTGTTAAGAGGAAGAGACTCTGAGTCTCGTGGACATTGAGCACAAATGGGGTGGAGGAGACAAACCCCTAAGTTTTCTGAGCTGAGAAGCAAAACCCTTGGGCCATATCCAGATTTTTTTAAAACAAAAAACTCTATTCTCCTTTGCACACACCCGTCTCCATTTCGCACCCCCATTCTGTTTGGGCTTAAGCCCATTCGATTTCTACTAAACCTCACACCCTCATAATTTTTGTTCTTTTTATTTTATTTTGTTTATTATTTTACTTTTATTTCATTTTTAGATATCTACCATTTAATAATACATGAAAAATACATAAAAACTACAAAAAAGTAATAATATCAAAAATAAGCATTTTAAAAGGTTAAGCACTTGTGTGACTGCTCACATCGTCTTAGTGCTTAATACCTTTCTCTCTCTCTTTTTAGATAAAAAAAAAACAAAAATATTGTTTTAAAGGTATAAGTATTTGTTCGATTGTCCACATCAGCCTATTACTTAACACAATCAATCTAAATAATTAAATAATGATATGAGTGCTCGTGCAATCGTCCGCATCAGCCTAGCACTCAATACGTAACCCTGATTTCTCTTTTGAAGGAGAATACGTAGGAGCAAGTTCAATCCTTATCGGGCTCAAAAAACTAAAATATATTTTGTTTCTTTATAGTTTTATTTTTGGGGATAGTTAAACATTTTGAAAACCACATCACATTTGCGTATGTAGTTAAAGGTACTGCCTTCGGGCAGGCGATGTAGGATGCTAATACCTTCCCTACACATAACTGACTTCCAAACCCAGAATTTGGTTTTTCATAGACCATGCCTTATCCTTTTATGGGTTTTTCGTAGTTTTCCAGAATAAACTATGGTGGCAACTCCAAAATCTCTTTTTCAAACGCGTCTTTATTTGGATTGTCGTCCCATCACGATTCCAGTTGCGACAGATGACGACTCTGTTGGGGACATGTGAGAGTCTGGCCATTTAATTAGATGTGCGAATTTGATGTGGTTTTGCTTTATGGTTTTTCTTCCCTTTTTCTTTATTTATGTTTGATATTTGGAATAATTGCATGTGAGTTGTTTTGATTGTTCTATATTGAACCCTAGGGTAGAAGACATGTTTATATATGTCTAATAATTTTTCTGGTTGTTTTGCAGGTGAGAGTTTGGATGCATTGCATTCTCCCTTCACACACACACATTGTGCATATTATGAGTGGGGCCCTATACCCGGGTCTGAGTGCAACTTAGAAATAGAGGGGTTGTGTAGCGGTGCCACTTGGGACATACTTTCTGTTTGGCTATCGTGTGAACCCCGGCTAGAGTTTGTTCTCTTCATTTGTGTCTTCGCACCTAGTTGATTACTCGACTGTTGTGGAGATGCTATGAAGGGGAACATAGCTCTAGTGACCATTGATCTTTAGGTTCAAGGAACCATCCTTGTGAGATTGCATATACTTGACCTTGAATATGAAGCGTTGAACCTCTATTTGGGCACAAAGGGAGAAATGTATAACCTTGTAACTCTCACACTGTTTGTTCCTTTTGAAAATAACGATTTTGCATTTTCATATTATGCATGTATCATGCATCATTTTCATTCATCATTTGGTAACGTACTTGCTTTAGGGGAAATCACAAGTTTATCTGCTTGATATCATACAAGATGGAAGTTGATGCAAGATCTTATGCTATACAGTAGACCGATTTTGTCATGTTGAGAAAGAAGCCTTGTCTGAAGACTCATGGCGGAAACCTGACAGGGCTGATAAACTTAGGCAAACAGCTAAAGACCAATATTATGACTCCCCGCTCAGATGTTTCACATTTCAGGACTTGTAGTTGGCGCCAACTGTAGAAGAATTTGAGCACATCCTAGGCTTACCACTAAAGGATATCACTCCTTATCAGCATTTGGAGCATCACACCTCTATCCCCACCATTGCTGCCATAATGAAATTACAACCTAAAGAAATTGAAGATAGGTTAACGAGGAACCAAGTGCGCGGACTTACGCAAGGATATCTGGAGCAATATCTACATCATCTAGCTGATAAAGAAGAGTGAGAGATATTTATGGATGTGGTAGCCCTTACTGTGTACGGCGTCGTCTTGTTCCCCAAGATATAAGATTTCATGGACTACACCACAATATATGTCTTTATGGCGAGAAAGAAAAGATAAGAGAATCCTGTAACCACACTCCTCGCGGATGTTTATGGGACCATGAGTTTTTGTCATGAAAGAAAGGGGAAGAACATTCTTTGTTGTTTTCAGGCACTGTATTTTTGGACGATTGCGCGTGTATTTAAGGGGGTAGTTGATGTCAGGTGTCCATTGGAAGATTTGTCGCACCAAAAGCTTAAAGACAAAGGTGGAAATGAGTGGGCACAATTCTTTGCTGGTTTGAGTTGAGGAAATGTAAAATGGCGCCTTCCTTGGCTTGGGATTAAACCCTCTATCCATCATTGTGGCAATTTTCCCAATATACCCCACATAGGTGCCCGATATTGCATCAATTACAACCTTGTTTTGGTCCAAAGGCAATTCGGACATCCCATGAAAGGGACACCTTCTCCTTAGTATCTCACTGCATTATTATGAAGACGAACATTTCACTGAATTGCTAAGGAAAGTTAGAAGTGTTTGGGAAAGTGTTGTACGATTAGAGAAGGATCTAAGGGTAGGGATGGTAGACGGTAGAGTTAGTTAGCACACCTGGAATGTAGAAAGGGTAAAGGAGATCAAATTGCCTTTCAAGCCGGTCAGTGCTCAGCCGACTAACGAGGGGCAATCCCACGACCTCGGGAATGAGGAGATGAAGTAGTTAAAGGCGGAAATGGAAAAACTGAGAGAGCAAAATGTCAGGTTGGCTAATGAATTACAAAGCGCACAAACGATTTCGTAGATATGAGGAATGCTAAAGAGGAAAAAGCAGGGCTATGAAGAAATTGTTAGAAGCCAGAAGGCCGAAAGAGACTATACATCCTGATTAAAGCAAGATCTTGCAGCTGCAACCATGGAGCTAGCAATGAGGGTTAAGGAGAGGAATGCGACGTTAGAAGAGGGAAAACAATGGAAACACCTCTACGAAGAAGCACAAATTTTGGTTGAAGAAGTGGGGCGTCAGAAGAAGGAGATAGCCATGTCATTTGAGGCAGATTTGAACCATGAACGCTAGAAGCTAGTGGAGGCAGAGGAAAGGCATCAGGCCATGATAAAGCGAATGGAGAATTATATTGAAGAGCAGGAGGTGCGGTGGAGGTTAATGGAGTTTGAAGAAAGGCATCAGGCCTTGATGAAGCAGATGGAGGATCACATCGCGGAACAAGAAAGGGTTGTGAAGCATTGTAAGGAGAGTTTCTCCCATTTGGCTGCTTTAGCAAATGGGGCAATTAAGGATATTCCCAAAATGGTGTTGGATGCTGAAGCGAGTACTCACTTTTGTAGCCCGCCTGAAGAGATAAAGCTTTTTATTAATCATTGTAAATGGCTAGTAGGTGAAATGAAAGCCTTCATCGCTCGAGCTAGGGAATGATGTAAAAAATGAGATACTCGTACTTTGTTCCTTTTAGGCAATGTAATGAACTGAGTTTCTTTAAATGAAAGATGTGGGATGTTTGTTTGGTATCGACTTGTGTTAATTTCCATCAGTAATGTCATTGTGATCCTGTGATTTCAACCTATCACTAGCATGCATCATGTCACTACAAGAAATAATGGATTTATATACAGAAGTTTATATACGGATTTAAATCTGTATATAAAGCAGATATTATATACGGAATTGATATACAAAATTTAGAAAAAATGTTATATACGGTTTCTTATATACGGATGTTTCGTATATAAATTCTGTATATATGGTTGGCACGTCATAGTGGGAAAATTACCCAAGGATGGAATCCGTATATAAGTGGTATTATCTGTTTGTAATTAGAGGCAGGTGTTACATGCGAATATTATATACGGATCAGAGAAATAATTATTTTAAAAAAATATATTTCTGATTAAGGGGAAGCTGGGTGTCATTTCTCAACCTCGAGCTTTCCTCTCTTTGTTGAACCCTGGACATTTCTTCTCTGTCGAACCATCACGCTTTACTTTCTCTTTCGAACCATCTTCGGTCTCAGTTCGGTGTCCTCCTGTGGAGCCATCTTCGGTGTGGGTGTTGGTCTTTGGAGTCGTCTTCGGTGTGGGTGTAGATCGTGCTTTGGTTCTTCGTCGCCTCTCTCTGTCTATTATTGTGACCTTCATCAATCCTTCATCAAGCACTGTGGTTGGGGCTCATTGTTGGGTGCGGTGTCGTAGTTCGGCGTTGAGTAGCTTAATCGGGTAAGTAAATCAAACCCTAATGCTTAGTAAATTTGGTTCTTCTCTGGCCATTCTTGTCATCAAGCGATTGTCATCAATCATAGGCTTAATCTCGCACTCTTCCAGTTGCAGAGGAACCCTAGGACTGTTGTTCTCGCACTCCGATTTTGGATCGCCGTCATTCAGTCTCAGTAACTGTGGTAAGTCCAGAATGTTGTTCCTTTAATATATATCTTTATTTCTTTGGTGTGTAGTGGTTTAATGTTG